GGGGTAGGCGCAGGCACGCACCGCTCGCAGCACCGCCCGCCGCGTCGCCGCCTGTTGCTCTGAAACTTTCCAAGGCTTTAAAAAATATTGTTGGAGTTCGTGGCATTTTTTTTTTTTCAACGAATAATATGCTATTTTAAAAAATAACTTCTCAAACGAAATTAGGCAGAAAGGGGTCGTTTTCTGAACGCTTGGCCGTCCGAAGCCCCGAGAGCCCCACGCTCAGCCCCGCGGGAGCCGTGGGTGGGCTCGGCGCTGTCGGGACGGGCCGAGAAATTGATCGGTCGAATGTGAGGGCTTGCACAGCGCAGCGGGATCGGGCCCTCGCTTCTTTCGTTGCAAAGCGCAAAAAAATTACCCGTATTTCTGTGTGTCTGCCTACTGCTCCTTCTTCTGCTCTGTTTATTTTTCTGTCCACTCCAAAGCTCCGTGTATTTATAGCTACACCGCTAAAATGTTTGCGCTCACAATAATGCAGACAAATACCGATTCTTGTCTCAAGCTTAGTGTCCTCCTCCGACTATAGCTTTTCATTCCCACAAAAGCGAAGTAAAAGCTTGAGTTTCTGTTGGAAATCGCTGCTAGATTTTTCCACCCTTTGTTGCTTCTGAAGTAGCGATGACTGAACTTTCCCTTTCGGTGTTGGGACTAGAGATATTTTTTATAAGCATGTTACCCGAACGAAAGACTGTTCCCAGCTGGAAGACTCATTTTCTTTGAATTCGTCTGTATTTTAAAATCACGAGGCCATCGAAGAAACCTCTTGGTCCTCGGACCGCGCAGCGTTTTTATTACGCTGACATTTTAGTTGGCGCTGCAAACTTTGTTCAGCCGAAACTTTACTGACTTGGAGCTTCGCTGACACGGAGTCCTTCTCGCACTGCGACCCAGAACTTCCCCGGGATTTTCTTCTCGGCGGCAGGGCAGCCGGTGCTGCCTAGTTCGCGGTTTTCCTTGCCGAGGGCTCGATCCCACCTTCCTCTGTAACCCCTGAGCATTTTCTGGGAAGTTTCGTTTAACCCGGGGGGTGCTTGTCTTATGCGGGCCTGTTGTTATCTGTTGTGTCCCCTCTGATTTTAACCTGCCCGTCCTCGGGGTGTTTTACAACGGGGTTTCTAAGCGGGGCCGGCGTCGGCTCCGGCTGGCGGCGGTGCGCGGCGGCGCGGCGGTGGCGGTGCTGCTCCGTCGGCACTGAGTGTCCTGGCAGCGGCAGCCCGGGCTCCCGCGGCCGCTCCCGGCCCTGCAGACTGTGCCCGCTCGCCTCGTCTTTACTGAAGCAGGTGACGACGCCGGATGTTGAGAAGAAAATCGAGGAATACAAGCGGGAAAACGCGGGCATGTTCAGCTGGGAGATCCGGGACAAGCTGCTGAAGGACGGGGTGTGTGACCGCAACACGGTGCCGTCAGGTACGGGACGCCGCCCGCGCAGGGGGGGCTTGGACACGTCCCGGGGGGCCGAGGCCGGTACGGGGAGGTCAGCGCGATACCCGGGGCAAGAGCCGTACCCCGCCGGGAGCAGAGCCCCGGGCCGGGCTGGTGCCCACGGAGCTGGTCTGCGTTAGCACGCTGGTGCCGACAGACGCGTCCCGGGAGGACTGCTGCGCTCGGCGGGGGTGTTTTCAATTAAATCACAACTGCATCCCCCTCCGTACCTCCTCCCTCCGATCCCCGCCGGGCTGCTGCCGCAGGAGGGCTCGGGGCTT